TGCTCACGCTCGTGCCCGCGGGGCGAGCTCGCGGGAGCAGCGCCAGCATAGAGGTTCGCGGGGCTGCCGCTCCAACGCAGGCGCGGTGGCCAAGTGGTAAGGCGTCGGTCTCGTAAACCGAAGATCACGGGTTCGAACCCCGTCCGTGCCTAGCTTCCTTTCTTCCTTCACTCCGGCGACGGGAGACTTTTTAGGGAGGATCTCTCTGTTCCAGAGACTACTGAGCCAACTGTTTTCCTGCAGTTTAGCCACAGGCTCGCTCTCTTCCTCGCAGATTGCAAACCCTGGGAGGTCCTTCCTCGGCGCTTTTGGGCCGCGCACTTGGCGTTTAGCTGCTCAGGGAGTGCTCGGGTGGTCCTGGGTCACTTGCTGAGCGCGTCTTGGCCACGAGGAGCTACGTCGCTGGCGGTTCTCCCCGGACTCAAGGGACGCTTTACGTTTTCCTGAATGTTAAACTCCAGTTTTATGCATCCTCGTGACGGAACTGTGGTCACCTGCCTGACACGGAGCCCACGCCCAGACAGTTGTGTCTGGCTTGCTTTTTTTAAAAGGAAATCCACTGTAGGCGTTACACTGGAGAGCGAGGAAGCCCTTCTCAGACTTGAAGCAAGTCCCACTTGAAAATCGAAACCTCTTGCCCTGGGCCTCCGTTTGGCCCTCTGTAAAATGGACTGGTGTATGGCCAGCGGTGGCGCGGGTGAGGCAGCTGCGGGAGAAGCCAGTTGCTGAGGGACCTCGGGAAATGCAGTTTCCGCACAGGTTTTCTTTGCCTTGCCAGAGGCTGCACCCCCGGGCTGCTCGAAAGCTTTTGAAGATGTCGTGCAGTGATCCAGCCTCCCGGACAGGTCTCCAAAGTCTGAGAAGTGGCTTGACCAAGCTGCGGAAAACTGTCCGTCTGAGATGCCTAGTTGAAGGAAGCGTTAATGGAGTTCCTAGTGTGTCCCTTGGCGAACCAGCATCACCAGAGCAGACTCCCCTGGGCTGAAAGGAAAAGGGGGAGCTGGGGGTGGTAGGGGAGGAGCAGACTTCTCCCGAGACAGCAGCGGTTCTTAGCCTGGAGCCTGCCAAAGGCTTGGAATGCGGACCGCTGGCAGCACCCCCAGACCTTCTGCCTTCCTGGCTCTGGGGTGCGGCCTGGTCCTTTGCGTTCCTAACGAGCTCAAGCTCAGGGTGGTGCTGATATTGCTGGTGCCCAGGCCACGCTTTCAGAACCACTGCTGCCCTGACCCCGGGTTGTGGAGCTACATTCTCCACCCCGAAAGGAGCACATGTGTGCATGCACACCCACAAGCGTGCAAGTTAATACACACGGGGAACTGTGAGTGCCAGCCAGACACGGGTGCATGCCTGTGATACCAGTACTCTAGCAGGTTCAGGCTGAGGATCCAGGTGCCGACCCACAACTTGGTGATGTAGCGAGATCTAGTCTCAAAATACAAAATCAAAAGGGCTGGGCATGTAGCTCAGTGGGAAGGTCCCAGGTTGGATCCCCGGGGCTGGGAGAGTAATAGGCCTCAGTACTTCACACACCCCAGCAGATCACGTTAAATGCAGGTTCTGACTACGTTTGGCCTGGAGCCGGAGACGCTGCATTTGTAAGGACTGATGGAAGGGAACACCCCCAAGTAACAGGCATTGCCTTGCCGGAGGGAAGGGTAATAGGGAAGCTGTTTAAAGACTTCCCTGCACATTGGATTTTCTACAAGATGATGCTATTCCACTATTCCATGTGTAATTTTTTTCCTAAACTACTTACACACACAAACACACACACACACACACACACACCCATAACGTATCAGAACATAGAGATTAGAACAATCCTGAATTAAGCCAAATAAAGTCTTGATTGTTCCCTCCATGGGTACACACATTCATTTCTTTTTGGAGTAGCATCACACAACAGCACCGTGTTCATACCCATTAAAAATGTCCCCAAGTAAGCGTCCCCATTAAAAAGCAAAAAGACCACTGTTGGTGGCAGGTAGGCCGATATCTGCAAGCATGGAGATGTCACTCCAATGTTCCTGTCCCCGCCTTTCCCTCTGATCCGAAGAGTAGACGAGCAGTCCTTCTGTGTGACAACACCCCCGGAAAAGGGCCAACAGTCCTCCACCTCACCCCTCTCTCCCCAAACTCCTGCCTCTGCTTCGGGTGAAGAAAAAGAGCAATTTACACAAGGAACTGTGAATGCCATGTATGCAAAAAAGCTGTACGAAGTAACTGAAGGTATAAATTCAGGAGTGGAAAATGGCTTGCTTTTTGTTTTGTCATTGTTGTTGTTGTTGCCCATGAATCGCACGCAAACCTGTCACTTCTGCTTGGAGTCTGGGATTACCACAGAGTTGTAAAACCAGTCGGGCAGGTGCTGTAGAATCAGAAAGCAGTGAGCAGAACCCTGAATTCGAGTTCTGTGTATGTTTCAATGCATAAAGGGGACTGTGTGTCTGAAAACGCCAGGATGCTTGATGTGCTCGTGAATACATGAGCTCACGTTTGGAGTTCTTTAACTTTGGTAGGAGTTTCATGTCTGAAGGTCACCTTGCAGTGGTCTGTCTGTTCTGTAAAGACTCCTCCCCGGGTCTCCCTTAAGGTTTCCCCCGCCCTTTGTTGCTGGGCTGGGGAGGGAAGAGAAGCAGGAGACAAGAGTCTGGAGTCACTGTGGAGACCTGCGCGCCAAATGACCAGTGAGTAGAAGGCAGGTTTGCATAAGGAGCCCATGGCTTCCAACCTGCATCCCTGTTATTCAAAGTCAGTCCTTGTCCAAAGAAGATTTCACAGGATTTTGAACCAGAAGAGGGA